TCAAGGAGAACAAGCCTTGCATCCCCACGCCCCTTGCCCCTCCAGCACCTCGTTGGCCCTGCCGATGCGGCCCCTCCTCCCCGTCCCCCTCCCAAATACCAACACGACGCCCCCAGCACCCCGCAGCCGCCTGCATCTCCATCTCTGCCCCCTCAGCTTCCGCCTACGATTCCACGATCGCGCGCGCGCAGGTGGCGCGCCTGCTGCCCTCCCAGATCCGCCGCGTGGTGGCCGCGCTCGCGCCGCGCGCGCCCTCGCTGGCGGCCGCGCTGGGCGTGCCGGCCCACCTGGTGATGGCGCCCATCGCGGGTGACTGGGAGCACTACAACCGCTACAACAACGAGGTGAGCTATATATGTATATGCTATGTATGTAACATGGCATGTCTCACATTCATTTTCCAAAAAGTGGCGTCGGCTGATTGCTTCACACAGCAGTGTGTAATTGACTCGACATTGTACGGGAAGCGATTGCATTTCCGGGGTTGGCGCTGTCAGCTGGCTGCTTCTTGCAGCTGCGCAGCTGCGGGCCTGAACAGGGCAGCCCCATCAGCGGCCAGACGCGGCGGCGGGACGGGCCAGGGGCGCGCGCCATGATCGATTCGCACACACGATACTTGGCCGCCATGCATCCGCCGCCGCCGCAACGCACGCCTCGACACCCCTTCTTCCTGCGCTGCAGGGCGAGTTGGTTGGAGAGCAGTTTAGGGAGTGACGCGGGCACCCGTGCTGGTGCGTGCCTCGGCGCGCGAGTACCGCCGCAGACTGCGTCCACTACAATCAGGCAACCGCACTTGGCCGCCTCCCTCCTCCCCCTAGCCGCCCCCAACCCTGGGCAATCTGGCATCTGCAGCTTGCACGGCCCCCGGCGGCCGCACGCGCGCCCTTCCGCACCGCCGCTGCTGCTGCCGCCGCCGCATTTTCAGGGGTTCCGGCCCCATGCGGCTGCAGGGTGGATGTCAATCTGTTTTGTAGTCCACTTTCTCCTCAGTCGCATTGGCAGTGGGTTGCCCGTTTTTGTCGCCCGTTTGGCAAGTGGCAGCACCCGCCTCCAAGATGCCTACCCTTGCATAGCTCTACACGGCCCCACTGCTAAGCTTGCATACTTGCCACGTATGTTCTTGGTGCAGCCACATGCAGACAGGGCTTGTGTAATAGCCACAGGATTGAATTAGGTTGCGGGGGCCTTGGAGCCAGGTAGCGGCAGGCGTGCGGTCCTTGGTGCAGCTGGGAGGCAGCCAGCCAAGCAGGCAAGCAGCTTCAGGCTCCGTTCAGCTCAGCCTTTGCATGGGATGAAGTATAGGTTTGAAGAAATGCCATTAGGCCACACTTTTAAGCCGGTCGACCGCTCCTGCTACCTGGGGCAGGGATGAGGCCCCCCTCACCTGATCACCTGCGGTCCCCCGGCGCGGCACGTCAGCGTGGTCGGGGCGGCCGGGTGCCACGGCGGGTGGGTACTATAGTCGTGCAGCATGTGGTTTGCGTTATCAATGCGTATCTGAGGTGTGGCTTGTGTACTCTGACCGGACTCTTGTTGCTCAAAGTGATCAAGCACACACCCGTTCACACCCGCCATCCAGACTTTCGACAGCGGATCGCCGTGCGGTGGGCTGGATTCGTCAGATACGCCGAAAGTATCTTCACACCTATCCAGCGTTCAAGATCAGCGGGACGGTTTGCGTTCGAACTTGAACCATTGCCGGGCCTCACGGCAGCTGCAGTAGAGTCTCCAGCGGACCAGACGGCTCTTGAAGTCTGATCGGTGCGTTCTGGCGCTGGATAGCCGGGGCATGCAGCAGCATCATTGCGGCAACATGCTCAGCTAGCGCACTGGACGCCGTTCGCAGTACACGCAATCAGCGTGCATTCGCACATGATCGCCGCACCGCGGCCCACCGCGCCCACTCTCCGCATGCAGAGGCATCAGCGGCCCCCCAATGGAGCTGCGCAGCCGCAGCATCCCGCCCTCGCCGGAGCAGAAGCCGGCCCGCAGCCGCGGCGCGGGGCATGCTGACAACGCAGCGGCAGCGCAGGGCCTGCCGTCCCCCTCCTCATGGCCCATGCTGACCGCCGACCCGGCGGCCGCGCTGGAGGGCGTGCCAGACATCCCGTTCTCGCAGCTCTGCCACGAGGGCAGCAAGGTCACCAGCAAGAACCTCCTGAACAAGATCTGGCGGTACACGATCGTGCCCACCAAAAACCTGTACCTGCCCTTCATGTTCAGCGGCCTGCCCACCAACTACCTCATGGTGCGCTCGGCTCGCATGTCGCATGGCTCGCATGGCGCAAGGCTCGTATGGCGCTTGGCTCGCATGGCGCACGTCTCGCATCGCGCATGGCTCGCATGTCGCATGGCTCGCATGGCGCACGGCTCGCATGGCGCACTGCTTGCATGGCATACGGCATGCACAGCGTGCTGTTGCATGCCATGCACATGCGGCAGGGTGCGCGTGCGCATGCAGCAGCTGAGCACGGGGCGTTCAGCAGCGGCGTGCGCATGCGCATGCGCTCGTGGTGGCATGCGTGAACAGTAGCTGCCCAGCGCGCGGGCGCCTGCCCTGAAAGCAGGTGTCTGCCTGTTTTAAGGCGCACGCTTCCTTGGATGAATGCTGCAAATTCAGAATGCCATGAAAAAACAGATCTCTACAAGCAGCACCTGGGCCTGCAACCGTGCCGTGCTTTGGGCGGCTGGCGTCGCAGCGGCGGCGGCAGCCAGGGGCAGCGGCAGCAAATGCGGCAACTCAAGCGTACATACTGCAACACATCCTTGCCGCTCCCGTCAAGCAACAGGCACATGCC